TACTTGTGACAATATTATTTTTTGCTCAAGAGCCTTTCTTTACAGCTGATTCGAGCGGAGCTTGATGGCAACCGTAGTTTTAACAGCGAGAAGATCCGTGCGGTGATCTCACCAGACCACATCATCGGTTGGCGTCCGTCAAACAAAGTCAGACAAGAAAAATCAACTACAAAAAAATTCCTTGGCTCAAATACGATCCCCTGTTAGAGAGTTCCCCATAAGATGTGCCCTGGATTTTTTTATCAGTGTACGCTTCATCACCTCTAAAATAGGCTCATTCTTCTGAATTTGTGACTTTAATGGTGTTTCATCTTACCCCATAATCATGCACGCATAGTGTCTTCGCTTTTTCAGAGCTGTTAAATTTCCTGTGGCCGCACAATCTTTAAACGTCTCATTCCTGCTCATACTTTCGTGCTTGCTTCTCTTCAGTCCTCTTTCGGTGTGACTTGTTCAACTCACTTTAACTCTGACCAATCTTTTCCTCACGCAAATCTCCTTCAGATCGACAATTACTAGAAAGCTGCAGATTTGGAGTAGCTGACAGCTTCTATTCTGGCACCGACTAGAAGGAGTATCTATGCAAAGCGAGCAATTCGCCAGCCAGCCGAAGCGGCTGCGGAGCGAGGCGAAAACGTTCGGTGGGTTTGGGTATGGTCTGTTTCAATTACTCCCAAAAAAATAGTCAACTGCAGAAGGATTTCTTGTTTTTCTTCAGCTGAAGACTCGCCAAACCCATTACTCGCCGAGGAGGTCATCGATGGGAACTCATTAAATAAGCGAGAGACCATTGACAACCTTATCAGCACACTACAGCGATTGCGAGTGAGTGGCTGAGCATACGTTTCACCTGCAACTCACTACTACCTTATTTTCAGGATGAAGGGGATTCCTTGCCTCCATCTACGGTGGATGTGTTGAATTCAATGGGTATGTACGACTTTCGCGTTCAATTCTTATCTTCTAACCGCTCATTAGGCGGAGTAGGCGATTAGCACGGGACTGTTGGTTTTCTAAGCCACGTTTTGCGACTAAGTTATAGGTTGAGGGTTGACAAGTAAAAATGCATCTAATATTGGGCTTTGTCCAGAAGGAAGAGCAGAGGACGTACTCGAAGATGCCCTGAATAAGGATCTCCTTATTGCAGCTGATTCTGAGCAGGAGGCGAAAATTCGTTGGGCCTCATTGGAAGGAATCAGACTGAAGGGGCAAGAGAGCTTACAAATGAGTAACACGACAGACATCCATAAGGGGTGAGTCACTTGTGTCCAGGTGGTGCCATTAGAGCAACCTCGAGCTTTGATGCGCCTAAATAACAACTTCTTGACGAGCACGAGGGCGCCCACGCGGATCACTCTACCTTACCTCTCACAGGGCTTCGTTTCGCCTTCTTTGTTGGTGTCAGCTCTTTCTCCTTACCACCTTAGTGTCACCATTGAAAATGAAGATAGCTGGTAGTGGAACAGCCGGAGTAATAGGAAATCTTTAGAGATGAAAGTTGGGCGTTCCCGTGGCCAGTGGGCGGCGCCGTGGCCTTGTCGCGAGGGCCACTTCCACCGCTCAGAGGAGCATGCAAAAGGGGCTGGATGGCAGTGATACCCGGTTGCTTCTCCATACTCCACCCGCCCTACTTGGTCCAATACCGAGGTTCCGCAGCGAAACAAGCACTCAGTGGTAGAGAACAACCAGAAGTGCGAGGGCGATACAAGTAGAGCGTTTGGCTGCAGTTAGGCGTCTGAGTGGCCGTGCCAGCGAGGGAGGAGTAGGGAGGAACCGGTGAAGATCCGTTATGTGAATGAGAAGATGTCAAAGTAAAACTTGGAAAATTGATGAACTCAAGAAATTGCCAAATTTGGAGCAGCAAAGGGAGGAAGTATTCATTGTACTCCCTGCTCCCCCACATCTCCACTGAACAGGAAACAGGCGACCAAATTATTTCACGGCGAATATTCTCGTAGCGGTCCTGTAGAGGTTAGAATAATCAGATATATTTATTGAAGATATTCCCTCTAAGTTCACTTCGAAATGTCGGTGAACCGGTTGCTTTTTACGCAAACGGTCTTGAGCTTACAGATCAAATCTCACTATATTCAGCAAGAGGATACACCGTTCAGCCCCACAATCTTCACGTCAACAGCAAGAATTTTTGAAACGCATCCTCTGCTTGAAACACGGGTAGGGTTCAATTCTCTTCTCACTTATCGGTACTTGCGGTTTTTTTAATCCGGCTAATCGCAAAGGGTCTTTACATTATTTATCACAGGTCCCGCACTCCAAGCTGTCCCATACATAGTGCCTCAGCAAAAACTGGTAAAAACTTCCACTCACAGTTTGGAAAATATCAACAAGTATCCTTACTATTCAGGAATTATCATGTTGGCGTGACGCAAACCTTCCAGGGTATTTCAGCTCCTTATCTCTTTCATCAGCGACAATGGTGCCCATCGCTCGCCGGTTCGTTTTTTGAGCACCTCTTTGGCAGTCCCTCTGTTAGATATTAGATTAGAGTTGTGGTGGCCCACAAGGTGGCCAAAAAGTTGCCACTGCGATCATAGTGTCCTAATGAATGCTATACGACCTACATAGTGAACTCTGATAGCCAGCCAATATACAGGGGGTCAAAAAAAACACTTCGGCCAGGTCACATATCATCAGCAAAGTTTTCGCAGCCCAGACAGAGGACTTGGATACGAAACACGCGCAGAAGGAACATACCTAAGATGTTCCTCCATTATCAGAGAGCAGGCAGGTTCTCGCCGCCACACCTTCATGTAACCAAAGTATGAAGTCATCTCAGTCCGCAAGCTCTGACTGGAGAAGACCTGTGCGGAACTCATGATCACTCCAAAACAGTGGAAACTTCTAGATATGGAGTCACCCATTGATAGCTACCTGGAACCAGCACTCTTGATCTGGAAGACCTCCAACATCGAGCAGCTCCGACAACGTCGCTACGGTCCAGGATATCATCTTCACCGCAGTCGCCAAGGCGCGGGTTGGTGGTATGGACCGGAAGTTCCTGGAATGTTGAAGATCGATATTTCTTCTTCCGTGACACCCGGACTGGAAAAGTGAACGCTGACGGTTACATCGACCAACTCGTGGAGAATATCCTGCCTTCATGTCGTCGCCTGTACCTTCCTGGAAAACTCGTACTGTTACAGGATTGGGTGCCTCCACACGGAATTGAAGAGCGTTGGAAATCAGAAATCTTGGAATTAGTACCCGAATACCCGAATAGAAGACGGAATATCCAACTGTGTTACCTGACCTAAACCTCCTCGATTACCGGGTCCGAGCGGAGCTCAACAGGGTGGTTCCACACTTGCTAGAATCAACGATCTCAGCTGAACTCAGGCACCGAATCACGGTCGCGTGGCAGAATCTCTCGATGGCGCTCGTCCAGAAGGCTGTGGCGGAGTATCATGATAGTATACAATATGCTGTTGAATATGGTGGTGGAAATGTCCAATCAGAATTCAATAAAGTGTAACTTATAGCGCCTCGAAAGTCGAGGAAGAAAAGTCTTTTTTTGCCCCTGTATGTACACAAAAAGTGGTTTCGTCCTCAAAATTAGATCTGCTATCATTCTGCCGTTCCCGAAATTTAGAGAACTTTGTTGGCCTGTATTGGAGCTGGTCCAGAATTGAACCCCGCACCGCGCGCGCCACTTCCGTCCCAAGACACCGTATTTCATACTGTTACAGAAAAAACGTGTTGTGTCACCCTGCCGTGTTCCTTTTCCTGTTGTTTAAAGATTATCGTATGAAGAATTGGCCTCCAGGTCACTTATCAGCGCAAGTTAGAAGGATTGAAAGTCACATTTATTTTTGTTCACAAATGCGGCTTACATCCGTTTAGCGGGCACCCATGATTTTCTATTAAATGAATTAGACTATTAGAAGATTTTCTATTAGAAGGTTTGCGATGTGCTATGAAAATGCAAGAGATTGAGTTGCAAGGGTAATGCAGTGTCCACAATGGGCAACCTTGTACCAGATTCGGGCAGAAGAGTTGAAGGTAAACGAGTTAGGGAGCAAGGTTGCTTCAGTGGCACCCTCCTTTGTCCAATGACTCCGCCTTCAAAATCTCGCCTTCCACCCGGTAGCGACGCTGCCGGAAAAATGGCATGAAATGGATGCTCTCCTGTCTCTTGAGATGTTATAAAGTTCACTTCCAAGAAAAAGCCGACTGGACTCAATGCGCAGTTTCTTGGCTTTTTGCCTGTAGACTGGAGGGGCCTTATCAAAGGCGTTGCTGACGTTCCCTTTGGCATTTTCTCTTTGCCCTCGAGTCACTTGACAACTTCTCTTCCATATTTGAACACCACTACCTACGCTCCTTATCGTGGACCATGCCTTTACCCCCTTTTAATGTAATGATATCAAAGGGTAGCAAGATGGAGGTAAAATGTTCATTACAGGTACGCCGCAACTTGACTTCGTAGCATCAACGGGATCGTTTTCCGGTGTCGCTCCTTTGTCAATGTATCAATTGGTCAGTCAAGTATTTTCCTGCTTACATCTACTCCATACCCAGTAGATGGACTGGGCATGGCTGCGTACTTCCCTACGAACTATTCTTCTTTTGGCTTTGAGACACTTACAACTATGTTTTCCCAGCACAAAGCAGGATGAGAAACATCTCAAATGGGAATATCCGACAAAAAAAACCTTCTGTCATGTTCGAGTGACATACGTGGCCACGCCTTCTCCATTTTCGGAGTATGGAGTGTACTTTTAGTGAGAAAATAGTGCCTGTACAGGTGAATCGCACAAAATGAAATAATATTGAAAAATAAGCTGAAAATATGTTTCATACAACTGCAAGCAAAAAAGTTACAGAATTATGAAAGTAACGTACACATGTTGCATTTTCCTATGACTAAATTTTCAGTCTTCGCAACTTTTACTTCACATTTATAACCAACTTCCATACGCCAATCGTCACTCAAACTCAGCTCAGCTTTTTCTGAAGGGAATTCAGCAATGCCCTCTACAGTCATGCTGATCAAGCCGCACGGCGTGTGGGGCTGATTCAAATCATTTGTAGGCACAGTTCGCGCTGATCGCATAGGCGGGGTCACCAACGCAAGTACCTCATTCTTGGCAGGAAGGTAATGAAGGAATTCTTCAGGGTCTGCAGTCCCTTTTTTTCGAATGATCTCTCCCTCTCAACACGCTAACTGCTGCAGTAAAAACGTAATCTACTGCCTTAATTGCTTAGAATGCGGTTATCAATATGTAGGACTAACGACTAGAGAACTTAAGACAAGAATGGGAGAACATATGTACAACATACAAAAGAATGATACAAGCAAATACTTATATAGACATTTCAATGGCAAATGCAATAAAAAACTTTTATCGTTCTCTATATTAGATAATCTGAAAGAAAACGAAGACCTGTCAGCTCCTCTGTGTTGAGTTTCTCTCAACACAGAGGAACTGACAGGTAACAGTGGGATAGGAGACATTCCAAAAGACAGTGCTTTCCCCATTGCTTGATAACGTAGAACAGAGAACTTCAAATCTCGCACCTGCTGCTTTTGAAGGCACGGCTCGCGATCATAGAAGTTGAAAATATGGCGTTGGAAAGTCTCCTATCCCACTGTTACC